ATTACCCGATTGTGTGCACCTGGTGTCCCTGTGTTTTCTCCTCCCTCCTCACCTGTGTCTTGTTTGTATAATTAGTCTTGTGTGTATTTAAGTTCTGGTTTTTCTGTCTGTCTTTGTCGGTTCGTCTTGTGTTTTGACTTGGTCTCCGGTGAGTGTTCTGTCGTTTGAATAGTTTAGCCTTGAAATAAAGGAGTTATTTTTGACACTTTAATCTGCATTTGGGTCCTGCTTCCTACACACACACCGTAACAATAGGTGACCATTGAGAGACCTGAGACCACACACACACTTACACCAGCATGTTAGAAACGTTTCATTCCCTTGCCTGTACCCTTCAACACGCCCTTCACCAGGTCCTGCTGGCCAACAAAGATCTGTGAGCATGTGAAAGTACACACATGCAGTGCGTAGTGTACACACTCAACAGAGGGAAGACAGAACGAGCTTAGCTGAAGTCAGCAGCGCTACCTATATCTGTTATTTTCTGTGCAAACACAAAGAGGAGATTTCCCTTAAGAGCAAGGGAGGAAAGACAAAAAAAGAGAATGATGTGTGAAGAATAAAAGTCAACATGGGAGTAGTTAATGTCGCTGAGAATTAAAGCAATAGAAAGCAAAAGAGAATGTATGCCAGTAAGACAGTGATACATTGAAAGCACAAACATGTTATCACAGTATAGGCTACTTGTTGTGTGGAGACATAAAAAGTATGTAACTGCAGAAATTAAGACATTGTTAAAGTACAGCAAGTTTATACATGAGTGTCCTTAGTGGCACCTTATGGTGATAAGTGGCTGAGTTAAAAAGTAAATATTTATACTGTTTATCTCTTAGTAAACACACATGCATGGCTGCAGTTCATGTGCTTCAGGAATACAAAGACTTAGACCTTGCACAACTGTGTGTACTTCTTTTTACATGCACTCAAATTGAGGTACTTTATTTATTTTTCATATTATCAAATCAGTGAATTTGTCTTGAGTGTTTGGTCATGTTTCTGACGCCACAGCTCTACAAGTAAAAACAAGCTATTTCTAAAAATGACTGTCAATAACTGCAATCAGAGGACTGGGGCCCATTCCAATAGTCCATTTAGCTTAGGAACCTTCCTAACCAAGTGAAATGACCCGGAAGTACGTCACTGGCAGCCATGATAAGTGCCGTTCCAATTCTCCAAATGAAAGGAAAGGAGGTTTCAAACTTCCTTTATAACCTCCTTTAGTTTAGGAACCACTGGACCTCCCTAACCGAAAGGAGAGGAGAAAATGCTGCCCCACAATGCATTGCAGCCGTAGCATTTGCCGTCACTCAACAGTCGGCCGTTCACTGACACAAACGATAATGGGAGAAATTATATCATGAAAGTTACGGTGCTTATTACGCATTTTAAAACGTATGTGGTAAGTTGCCAAAGTGCTTTGTTTTGAACGTTCATCAGTATTATAATCAAAAAGAGAAATATGAACGTTAGTTTTTACTGAAATGATCAAATAAAGTCAACATTTCACTGAGCTGTGTGGGGTTGTTCAACTTTTAAAAGATGTTTGAATGGTGATATACACAGTGATAGATGTTAAGGACTAACGTTTATAATAAATACATTTGTATTTATTTTAAGATCTTTTAATAGTTCATACAATCATACGTATTGGGATCATTTGTATTAATGTGGACCTGAGAGAGAGGGTGACGAGCATAAGTTTCACTTTCCTTTTTTATTTCAATTCCAACTTTGGTCATGAAGAATATGTTTCTCTGTTGTCCACGTTCATAAAGCTTAAAGCAACAGCATCAGAGCATGGTGCAGAGTCTCTAGATGAGTTTACAGTAGTCCCTCGTTCTTATTATACATCCATGTTGTAGTCCGCTGTAGAAAACTGTAGTTTCCATAGTTTCCCCACAGCAGCAGACGCACATTCATGACGTCCGCTGGCGCATCATAAACACGTCGGATAGTGAAAGTGCATTCGGATTCTCTAAGCACCGCAGTCTCTTCTCCTAAATCCTTTTGAATTCTCCTATCCACTATCCCTTAACCCCGTGACGTTTCACTCAGAGATCAAGGAATAGGAGATAGGGTTAGACGTTAGGAGCTGATTTTTGGATTATCGGAACGCAACCCTGTTCTTTGTGATTACTTCATCATTGGTTATCAACCCAGTTTTCATCTCTGTAACCATTTTTTAAATCTCAAATAGATTTAACCTGGGGGAGCACAGTTATTTCATATATCAAAACGATTTTTCTTTGCTTTTACACTAAGAGCACAATTCACAACAACTTTGAAAACAGATTTTGTCGGAGCTGCAGCAAAGAACCCATATCCAAACTGCAATAATGTTTGACCTCTTTGACCATGTCAAAACCCATAATATGTGCCTCTTAGGAGGGCAATCTAACTCGATACCAAGTAAAAACAAATGATGATGATGATGATGATGATGATGATGATGATGACTGTGGGTCACAGACCCTATGGTACACCAGTCACCAGAGGTGTGAATTTAACAAATTCACACATAGAAAGGATCCTTTTTGAACGGCTCCTAAGAGAGCAATGTTCAAGGATCAGCTTCAATGTATAATACAGCAACATGAAATGCAGTTGTAACCACCTCCATAGAACATATACAAAAATATATGGAACTATTTTATTTAGAACAGAATAAGACAAGGTAGGACATAGAATAATAAAAGAAGGAAAATATCCTCCTGGGACCCGAGGAAAAAAATGTGTGTTCCAATTTCCTTTTTTTGTGATTTCCTACCTATTTAGGGTTACAAAAACATCTTGCAATTTAGACTTTTTTTATTTTATTTTATTTTTAAATGTTACAGTATGTCCACTTGTGGACTGACGGCTTCGGGCTTTGTATATTGCACATGTGTTTTATTTTGAAAAGTGTTCCCTTTCCCCATGTCTGTTGCTGTTGATTGTGTGCACCTGGTGCCCTGTGTTGTCTCCTCCCCCTCACCTGTGTCTTGTTGTGTTAATTAGTGTGGGTATTTAGGCTCTGTGTTTCCTGTTTTGTGGGGGGTGTGAGATCCTTGTGGCTGGTGACTGTGCTCACGTGAACAGCAAGATTGAGGCTGTGTCATGTGCCCGTGAGTAATAAATGCCCACACCAGGTTGTATTTTGGACGTTCTGCCTCTGCCTCCTTGCTTGGTCGGGCCGCTCAACGGTCAGCTTCACACCACTGTAGAGGACGTCGGAACCATATTAGTTTGAAAAGACAGCCAAAATTAACAGACTATGTAACGTATTATGGTTATAGAGTGATATTAATACAATAATACATTCACCTTTATTTAAAACATGAATAAGTCATTGATCTGAACATTGCTGTTTATTTGTTCAATACAAAACTAGCTTGTTTTTTGGTGAATCTTTCCAGATCTTCAAAGACTTTGTAGTCAATGTAGTGGGAAAAGTACCTCATTGACTCCAACGGCACGGGCTGTAGGGTCATCTTGACTAGTTTTCTCCATTTGACCATGCTCATAGAAACAAAGCTTGCATTCCTGAGGCAATTCTCATTTTTCATGGCTCCACTTAAAATAAAAACAACAATAAGACATACGTGTTACTCCTGGCCCACAGAGGGCCATGTCTTTCCAGCTCGTCCCTATCTGTCTCTCTGTCTGTATCTGTGCGCTCATGGAGCCTCCTGCATCTTTCCCCCCCTTCTTCTTGACCCTCTTCTATCCCAGGTGTGAAAGCCTCATCTCTCTCATCATCTGAGAGCTCAAAATCTTAATCTTCCTGAACTTTCTGGTACAGAAAATGTCTGCTTCAGTTCCGTCTCCTGCAACAATATTGAGTCATAAAGTCCATGAAGATAGTCCTGACGTCCACTAGAATGGACATTTATAAAAGAGCTGTTATTTGAAAACTTGAATTATTTAATTGCTTTCAGAACTAATTTTATAGTTCCTCACATGTTAATAAACAAGAACATATATGATTTTCATGGTAAAAATTACAATTATTCAACAATATTTGACTTCTCCTCATGCTTCTATAACATTTTGTTTTTGGTATGCCAGCCATTTTGGATGAAAAGAAAGAGGAACTTCCCAGCATGCAATTTTAACCAATGACATATCACTGGAAAGACCATGATGTCCTCTGTGCAGTACATCAGGGATTGATAGAGTAGCTCAAAAGAGTAAAAGGAGATGCATGTTAACAAAATGTCCACTACAGTGGACATTTTCAATGGGCTGGGTCCCAGGAGGATACACAGTTTCCACACATTTTGCAGATATTGTATATTTTGTGTGTTTGGATATGTAAAATTCACAGATCTAGTGCAATGTATACTACAGGGTGCGATAGGCCTATAACTTTCGTAGAGCTGAGGTCTATTAGATGTTAAAATCCATCAGACTTTTAGTATTCATGAAACGTTCTGTTAACTCCATTTAATAAGCTTTATACAGAGACACTGGAGATTTGAGGTTAGCCTGTAATATAAGAAAAGCATTTATTTCCACAAACTCATAATGAAAATGTCATAACAAGGCTTTTAGAGAGCTCTCCTTCTCTCTGAGGAACAGGAAATACACACTGAGTATGTGACATTTCTATCCCACTCTGTATGTCTTTCTCACTCTATGCTGCATCAAAAAAAGAGGAGAATAGAAACGTATTACTATTTGTAGTATAGACAATTGCTTTAGCATTTCAGAGGAGATGGAAATGGATGGCTGCAGAAAACAGCAGGGGACTGGGGATGAAGTATACCTCTCTCTTTCCTTTCCTTTTATTTATTTTTAAACCAGGCTTTATGTGGCTCTGTCATTTACAACCAAACTGCCAGCCTTCTGCTGTTTTGATTTCTATTTAACTCCTCTTGTTTTAGATCGAACCGTGCACAATCAACACACGTCTCCAATGCTTACTTAATTACCTAATTTCAATACTTAATTTCTCTATCTCTCTCTATCTCTCTCTCTCTCTCTCTCTCTCTCTCTCTCACTCTCTCTCTCTCTCTAGATGTAGTCGCAAAGTCGCGTGGCTGCTGGTCAGTGCGTCTGCAGTCACTCTCAGCAGCTTGCACCGTAATCAGCTGTTGCACACGCCAGGAGGGAGAGCGAAAGTGTATGTATGTGTGTGTGTGTGTGCGTGTGTGTGTGTGTGTGTGTGTGTGTGAGAGAGAGAGAGAGAGAGAGTTGAGAGTATAGAGATGTCTTGAGATGGATTACTGGATGGACCTGGTTGTCCATTACGCAGAAGGACTCTAATTTCTGGACATTAAAAACTATGGATAGGCCTACTGATGTAAAAAAGACTAACAACGAGGCTTAAACCGCGTTTATAAGAAAGGTAAGAGCGATAAAAGTAAACATCTGATTGAGGCTATCTCATTTGTGTATATCACATATTTCACTGTGCCGTCCGATCTGTGAATTCATCACGTGTGCTGCAGGCTGTTGCGCATACTGTGGCAAACAAAATAGTGAGGGTGTCTGCCAAAAGCTAGTGCTTCATGGCAGATAAATATATGTGAACTAATAATAAATATTAAAACCTATTTGCAATCAAATGTAGGCTGTGACAAAGTTTTTAACTTACATGTGCTACTGTAAGATAGGCTATCAGTGGACTGGAACTTGCCATAATAGTGATATGATGTATGATTATTAACTAAGGTGACTGCTGTGCTGCAAGCCACATTCTCTTACTGTAATTTAACACTTGATGTGACTACCTCATATCGAAAATGCATTGATACATCAGGGTTAAAAAGTATAACATAATTCATCATATTTACAAACCAAATGTGAAAATAGGTGCTACAGAATATATTAAACATTTTCTAATTCAAGTCAAATCTGACATTTCTTTCCATGTGAAGAAGAAGGTGAAGGTCATTTTACCTGTAACTCTCATTGTGTGTCATACCCTTATGCGTAAAGTTTGTATTACCAGGTGACAGGGAGTAGAATATGGATGCTGAGGGAATCCAACACGTCGACAGAGACATGGAGGCCACTTCATGGCCTTTTTCCGTGACCACCGACTGGCAGGAGGACGGAAACGAGATGACGGGGAATCAGTTCCAGCAGCCCGACTGGCAGGTGGGAGGATAAAGATCAGAGATACAACTTGAACTCCTATTTTAGTGCATCCTGCAGAGCCTGAAACCATTTAGAGGATCAAATAAAATGCGACAGAATTCATTGAAAAAAGAGTACAATATTAAAAGAGGTTTTATGAAATAATCAATGCTAAAAAATGTTTTTGTAAATATGTCAAAGGTGATAAAGTCGGTCCTTAAGGATGTGTGAATAATCTATAAATCATGTCTATAGTGATCCTGTTGTAATAGTTTTTGTGTACCTATCCAGGTACTGCAGATGGAAATGACTCATAGCTAAAACAAAACATACATACATTTGATTGTAATACTAATAACAAAATCATAATTTTAATAATTTGTGTACATTGTTCCTGATACATAAATATTATGCAAACACAAACTTAACCAAGACCACACATTAAGCCTTATGGGGCAGAATGAAAGGGCAGAAAATGATCTATTAATATTTACAAAGCTTTTTTCCACTCCGCATCTCCTTTCCTCCATCATCTCTCCTTTCTCCTATCTTCTTCTCCCCTCTCATCTAATAACTTCCGGCCTTTTTCTTCTTTCTTTACCTCTCCTCTATAATTATCCAATTCCACTCGTCTCTCCCACGTCTCCACCTCTTCCTTCTGAACTCTCTCCGTTCTCCTCTTTTCCTTTTCGTCATCTTTCCTCTTCTCTCTCTTTTTTCCTCTCCTATCTCCTCTTTTCCTTTCTCCTCTCCTCTCTTTCTCTACTTTCCTAACTTTCCTTTTCCTCTATCGTCCGCTCTTCCTCTCTCAGGTGGCTTTGTGGGCTATGGCGTACTCCCTCATCATCCTGGTGTCCATCACTGGCAATGTGACAGTGATCTGGATTATTCTTGCTCACAGACGTATGAGGACTGTGACCAATTACTTAATCGTCAACCTGGCTTTCTCTGACGTTTCCATGGCAACCTTCAACACTCTCTTTAACTTTGTGTACGCACTTCACAACGACTGGTACTTTGGCCTCGGCTACTGCCGGTTTCAGAACTTCTTCCCCATCACGGCCATGTTCTCATCTATTTACTCGATGGCTGCCATCGCAGTGGACAGGTAAGAGAGAGCTCTAACAAAACCTCAGATAAGGTCTGATTTAACATTTCATTTGTGAGTTACATGATATTTAAGTGGTTACTCTAATCCAAACTTCCATTAAAATATAACCAAAGTACTTCAGACACTATGTTGTACCTGAAACTATAGGCACTAAAGCAAGAACTCATTGTCATCTCTTGCGAAGCCTCATTTAGGAACTACATTATGCAAAGTGTAAAAAAGGACAGATGACCAATTTGTGAAACAGTCAACTCCGCAGTGCAAGAACCAAGTTGTTTTTGTAAATAACCTACTTAACTGGTCCATTACTACTCTAGCTGTGATTGGTTTTACAGTACTTATAGTGTATAAATGTGTTAACTCTACAGGCTGATAAGTACAAACTGTGTTGAAAACTACTATGGTCTTTAGGATAAGGGCAAATACAATATGTTGTACATGTCTATGTATCCTTGGGTGTGTATGAATGTTAGCTTCCCTATAGCAAGTGGTACTCCTCTATATGAATGAGGTGTGAATGGGTGAAAACAACCTGATCAAGCGCTATATAAGTACAGTCCATATACCATTACAGATTAAGGATGTAGTGTTAAATCCACACCTTTTTGAAACAGTGTCAACACAAATTGAACATTATAAACTTCACAAAGTCATCATTTATGTCAGTGCTGTTGTATTAGGCAGCATTTGATAGCATGAAGGCACTTACGTACATAGTAATACCGTTTTTTTAGAGGAGAGAGTAACATTGAGTTTCATGAGTGCATCAACATTTACATGATATAAGGCCCTCTGGCTCAGGACAGATGTAGTGATGAATGACCCATAGGCTAATAGGGAAGGATGTTATATCTGCTCATGCCTAAATAACTCCTCCATAATCGTTCCCAAATGTGTGAAGTCATCAGTTTATGAGACATTATTCAGGAGCAGCAGCAGGCAGAAAACAATCAATCATGGAAAAACGTGAGCGAAAATCTGAGGTAATACTCTGCCACCTCCATATTGTTTCAACAACCCTCAGGTTCCACCTATCTTCAAATGTGTGTGTGATAAGAACATAGACTTTATATATAGATTTGAATAGTGCCAAAAAAACTGGTTTAAGAGTAAACTGCGAATGAAAAAGGGAAATGAGCGTCAATGTTTTAAAGTATGCAAAAGACCTGAATATGGGTTGTTTTATACAGAAACGCCAGATTAACACACTTTTGAATCTAAATAATAGCAGTGTGTCCAAAAAGTATCTTTTATTATTTGTATTTAGATGACAAATTAAACGTAGTTATCTTTTAATTTGTGCTCAGCTGACCTTACAAAATAACAAAAACAGAAGACAATGAAACATCTTCAATGAACCTAATCAAATGCAAGTCACACAGTCTTAATCCATTTAGCTAAAAATAGTTGCAGAAGCCCTCAATACATTCATGATGTCAGTCCTGAATAATTCAAAGGAATGGTTTATAGTTATAGTTTAATCATTTGACTGTTATGGTGATAATACTGAGAAAGGCTGTTAAGTTAAATAATATAACTAGATTGTATAAGATGAGTGATAGATCGCCTTGAGTGATGCACCAGAGGGCACTACTTATTTTAAATAAAGCACATTTACATGTGGAAATACACACAGTAGCTTTTATCCACGATTAGTTTTAAGGCATCGAAGGAGGAGTGGGTCTTTTCTGTGATTTAACACGTTCCTGTAGTTCACTATAAAAGTGTATTCAGTTGATTTCATAAAGTCATTATGAGACATTTACACAAGATGTCTTTTTTCAGATGATTATGACACTCACCTTGTTGTCAGTTCCTGTCACACAGACATGAAGGGAGAAATAAAATATGATATTATAACTTTGGCAGTTGGCCAGGACATAACCACAGACAGAAAGACAGAAACGAGCATAATGACAGAGACAGAAAATATATACAATGCAGGTTTGGTCATGAAAAAGCCTCTTTGTTATAACTCTCAAAATGCCCACAACCTTGAAATAATACCACACGAAATATAGAGCTGTTCATTTATTTGTAAAGGAGATCTCTCTTTTCTAAAGCAGATCAACGGTTTCGTTATTTTACTAACATATGACTCAGAGTTAGTGATATGATTTATAGATGAAAAAGGGGATGGATATTTTATTCAACATTTTCAGTTAGAATTAAAGCCCATAAAGCTTTTAAGGCAGAGAATAATGTGTTCAGAATAATGGATTAAAGAGAAAGGCAACACAGACAAAACCACCACTTTATCATATACAGTAGAATGCAATTAAATATAAATGATATGTTGTGTTATAGGAACCACTCTGGTCTGTTCCTATGTATAACATCATACTCTAAATGAAACACTCCATAAATGAACCTTTTTATCTTGTGTCAGGTACATGGCCATCATCCACCCTCTGAAGCCCCGCCTCTCCTCCACCTCTACAAAGGTTGTGATCGCCCTCATTTGGATCGTAGCAATCTTACTGGCTTTCCCTCAGTGCTACTACAGCGTGACAATATTTTACTACCCCAGAACTGTGTGCATGGTCGACTGGCCGGACGATTATGGAGGGACACATCAACTAAGGTGAAAAAACCGCAGACATTTACAACAAGGAAGATGTATAGGCTAACATCAATTAACAAGTTATCAGCACAAAGATATTGTCTGCATGACAGGTGCACTCATATTTAAGGGGACAGTCATGCAAATCAGTACAAAAGTTATTAAAATTCACATATTTCTGAACATCTGTGAGTTGAAGCCAACATGTATGTAAGGCAAGGCAAGTTTATTTATATAGCACCTTTCAACACAAGGCAATTCAAAGTGCTTTACAAAAATGAAAGACATTAAGAGCATTGAGAAACATATTATAAAAGGGCATTTAAAAATACTCATTCAAAAGCAAAGATAATAAAACATGAATAACAAAGGTACATGAATACAAGTTACAGTGCAGTGTGAGTTACACACATCTGAAATGTTTAGGTCTGACTCTCAATCATTGCTAACTATTTAGCAGAAATAGTTTTCTTTAACCTCACTTTCTTTCTGCTTTCTTTTTTAACTTATCCGTTAGTTATTTCAAGTCTTCATGCTAAACGAACAGCTCTGGTTTCTGTTTTTCAATCCCAAGGTTGGACACCTTCAGTTGCTATAATACATCTAAACCAAAAACTATCTGTCAACTACTCACTGATACTAACCAAAGCAGGCTTGATTGACTTGAATTAAAGGTTAAGATTGTTTAGTCGCTTTTAAATGTTGCTGAGGCCGTTAATGGAGTTGGTTTAGAAAGCTTTTTTGGAAGACAGTATCAATATCAACCAAAGGGACACTACAAACAATCTGGGCTCACAACCCCTAACAATCTCTGAAACCATTAAACAAATGAAGCTTGTTGTCTGTTTCTCCCTCTGCAGTTATCAGTTTGCAGTGATTTTGCTGATCTACCTGCTCCCTCTGCTGGTGATGCTGGTGACCTACAGTTTAGTGGGTCAGTCATTATGGGGTGGGCACATCCCTGGAGAGGCGAGGGACAATTACCACAGCCAGATCACTGCCAAGAGAAAGGTCACACTTATATTTTTATACTGTCATAAAGTACAGTTCTAGTCTTCTGATGTCACATTATCACTATTTTCAAAATGCTCAGATAACCGTGGCTAAGTAAAGCTAAGGGTGAATCGAACACAATTACATGAGTGAATTTAAAATATGGCATTATTGGCTATTATTTTCTCTGTGATTTCCGACAGGTGGTGAAGATGATGGTTGTCGTGGTCTTGACCTTTGCCCTCTGCTGGTTGCCCTACCACATCTACTTCATACTGGGATCCTTTAACAGAGACATTTATAAACAGCATTACATCCAACAGGTGAGCAGCTGCCTTTCTGCCTGTTTGGAAATGTAACAACCTTTATTGTGAAGCCAAGACAGGAAAGTATCTTTGGTCTCAACTCACTGAGGAGAAAACATGACATAAAATAGAAGAAATGTAACAGTCATTGAATGTCCTTGGTGCAAAGCCAATTGCCTCTCATATTTAAGTGTACTATTATTTTTTCCTTAACACCTGACCTGTCTAAACGTGTACATTAGACTTTACATTTTGAATTAAAGAACATTTTCAAATGTAATGTTGCCAGGTTTATTACATCGCGACAGCCTAAGGGGACAAACTCAGGGGGATGTTTTAATCAAAGATAATTGGCCAGGCTTTGCTGTTTACAGCTGTTCATCATCATTTAATCATGGAATTGCTTTTGTTGGCGGTCTATTATCCTTCTTAGAGTTAACAATCTTGCCCACCAGTTTATATTTAATGCTGTGGAGTTCCTATAACAGATAGAGATATTGAGCCAACCAAGGTTGCTCTCTATCTTCTAAAACATTTGAAATGCTTTTAGTCTGATTTACTAACTGGGCATCGTGTTTCATTTCTTTGTCAGGTGTACCTGGCTATATTCTGGTTGGCGATGAGTTCAACAATGTACAATCCTATCATCTATTGCTGTCTAAACCAAAGGTAAAAGACATATTCACACTAAAGTTCCAGTATCCCAAAACTTGGGCTAGAAAACGAATGATCCTCTCTCTGCAGGTTTCGTGCTGGTTTCCGTCATGCGTTTGTTTGGTGTCCTTTCATCAAAGTGTCGGAGGAGGACAGGATGGAGCTGCAGCACACACACACCTTCAGAGCTACCATGAGCCGCAGCCACCGCAAAGACAGTACATACATACACACCTCCATCAAAACACCCAACGCCTTTGACGCAAACGCAGCTATCAACAGTGATATCAACTCAGAAAGAGATGCTTGCATGCAGCTTAAAAAACAAACACCATTAAACACTTACAGCTCACACAGCACATGTGCAGAAGATACAAGATCTCCAGCTGACACACTTCTACAGCACAACAACTGAAACAAAACACGATGAGGACATCACGATAGAAAATAATTGGGTTTTTGAGCTGATAATAATTAGACTTCATCCAAAAAATATAGGGGAGATCCAACAGGGTGAAGTGTGGTGACTTCATGTGGGAGTTGTTTAGATGTGGCTTTGGACCAATAACCCTTTTTTTCGTTAAAGAGGAATATAAATGAATGTGACTGGTGGATGTTTTGCTGTTAATACCAAAGTGGTCATGGAAATAGAGTTATATGTGAAGAAACTACATCTGCATTAATGAAAACAAGAGTTTTATTCTCGCATTGTTAGTGTTTGATGTTTGTAAGAACATCTGTAGATAAATCCATCCATGATTCATTTCTCTTACTGAAGCCTTTTTCCTTTGTCCTCCCTCTATCATTTACATTCACTAACTACGCTTCTCCTTTGAGAAACTGGAAATTGTGGATATCTACAGAGTGTGAAACTGTAGTCTTTGTGATGTTTATTTTCAACAACAACAACAACAACAACAACAACAACAACAACAACGTATAATGGATGAGAAGTCCTCTGGCATCAGCAGCAAGCCTTAATAATGTGTTTTTTCTTCGACATGGGACATTTCATATTTGTCACCAATCTTAAGACACAAAGTGTTGTTATTGGTAACATAGTTAAAGCAACATTTGTTCAGCTTTCTGGTGTTCAAAGTTAGCACCAATGTGCTGATTAGCTCTTGTTGTTAGTGTGGGATTGCCTTGAGCTTATAATAACACCTTTATTAAGGGGATATCTTTGCAGTTTAGAATATGAGTCTGAGGAGCTCTGCTGTATCAATGCAGCTTTTAAAGATGTTATTCTACTGTCACTTGAAATAGTCGAACAAAAGTTTAATTACAACTTGCTCAATTTATTACATTGAAAGACACAGAATTAGCTATTTATAATATTAACTGATTTTCTAATCACCATCATTACAGTTTCAGTTGACAAAATAAACACAAAACTGATTATAAAATATTTTAGAGGCAAAATTAGCCTTGATTATTTGTATAGACTTTGCTGGATGTTTCTTACTATCAGTTATATGGTGAGCATGTATCTTTTATTGTAACAGTCTTTAAACATGTCTTTCACATAGTGTGCATTCATACAGTACGTTGCTCGTGTATTGTGACTTCACACGTTCCTACAACTGTAATATTTTAAGATTTTTATGTTCATGGTGAAGTAGAGTACACATTAAAAATTAAAAGTGCTGCTAATTAGACGAATGTGATGTAAATGTAATCTATTGAGTGTATTATGTAACATATTTTGATGAAGTGGAAATGTAAATAAGGTGACATGTTTGTGCAGTTAGTATGATGATAATGTTGTAAATAATGTAGCTTGTAATTGTCAACATTTCAGAATGGAGAGAAAACCTTTTCAATTCTTGTGACAACTTTTACTTTTAAGGTAAAGTGACAAAGTGAAACATGTATTGTTGTCTACAGAAATCAGCAGGGTAGAAGTTTGTGGCCTAAATAAAAGTTGATAATATGTTTAATAAATGTGAGTGTGCGTGTAATGGTCCCTCAGTTCTCCTCTTGTTCAAATGTAACACGGGGGTCAAAGGGGCGGTGCTACTTTGTTTTTAAATCACTTTTACTTACATTCTCTCATAGCTACTTCATTTTTTAATGAACCTCTGAACACACCAACAACCCATTACGTTTTGCTGTAATGTACCTAGGCCAACTAACTGAAAACACAACTTTAGAAAGACATTTATTTGTTGGCTTCAAGTAAAACCACAACAGCTCTAAACAAAAGGTCAAATATTCAATGATATTATGCATCCCTTATCATTTCAATTAAGACAAGGTATGCAAATGTCATTGAATATTTGACCTTTTCTTTAGAGCTGCAGTACTGTAAGCAGAATCCAGTCATGTTTGGCTAAATAGATTAAAACTCTTTGGTTGTATTGACACAAGTTTGTCTTTATTTATTGACTGACAGTGTTTGACAGATACAGTCTGGGTTTTGTGAACACAGAAAACAAGATTCAAGTTTCAGACTTTTCTAATTTTGAGAGCATCTAAAGGCAAGGTAGTATAGCTGCTGGAGCGGCTGGCCATCTTTACCCTGGCAACAGTAGAGCAGCGTAGTACGAAGGAATGAAAATGTAATTTGCTAGGATTCATTTTTTCTGTAGCAGTTTTAAATGGGTGCTTAATGTAACCGAGCAGCAATTAATAATGCATTTTATTTATATAGGCGTCTTTCAAGGTCGCCATTTTAACCATAGTTAACAAATGTAGCCATTTATGTACTGTAGTATCTCACATCCTGTGCCCCACCATTAACAGTTACCTGTGAGCTATACAGTGCCACTATGTTAAGACCTTTTGTGCTCTAATGTGCAGAGAACCTGCTAACCCCTACAATGAAAATATCTCACATAAATGCCAGTGAATAAACTCGCCAGTCTTTCAATAAGTATGATTTATACATTATCACAGATAAAAACAAATTACATTGCAATAATTGTGTTACTTGAATGAGCCATAGAGTAGTTCACTTTAACACCTTTCTGAGTCTTTAGGATGATACGGAGTATACAGTGAGTGAGAAGCAATATTTCCAAATGTTTAAATACCCCTTAAAGTTTCAGCTACCTTATTCTTTTTATACAGTTTGGCCAAAGTTGTTCCAGTGGCATCTGTATCACATTCCTGTTTCATGGCTTTTTACTAAGTAGCTGGTGAGTTTTATTGTGATGAAGAGGGTAACCAGCACTTCTTAAGACAACTAGAACGTACATACAGTAGCTGTGACGAGAGACAATAACAGGATTTCTACTTAGTGAAATACAAGTGCTCTTTGGACATATGTTACAGTACAGCACAAAGTAAATAAAGTAGAACACATCTGCACATTTAACAAGCACGTTACATCCCCTGCAGATTAAGCATCGTTAAAGTCCCTTTTTCTCCTTTCTGCCCTTGAGTAGATTGTTGAATCCTCCGCTACAGGACCAGTACCGGCTGAGTGGACTTCCTCTGTGTGCCTCAATATATTTTAACATTGCGCAATACAAAAATAAAATAAATAGCAACAATGTATATATAACATATTGTAGCATTTCTGGGTAAGATATTAGACATCTCAAAGTTAAAAATATTCCCTTTAATCTTATTACACATTTATATATCATCTCATATCCCTTATCCGTCTTGAGACAGTGGAAACACTTTGGAAGCTTTTGGTTTTTATGACGCTGCATCCACTACACATGTTGCAAGGATAAATGTTTCTCCGCAATGCAAATAGTCTGGAACCTGTTGTACTTGGTATATTGTAACAAACTACAATCATCAGAAGAATCCTCCAGATGGCGATGATAAACAGCTCATCGTTACAGGAGCGTGTAAACCTATTTTTCTACTAGCCACATTTTTTCACAGCTGAATGTTCGCATTTTATCTCTACAAGTTTAACCTCAAACAACACAAAAACATAAGAGTCTGAGTATTGTTAAATATGTTAGTGCATGACTCTCTGCTATCTAACACCACAGAGAAAACGATCTCCCTCTCTGTCATTTAGACAGACTAAAGCAGCTACACTAATGTGTGATCCTTTGACTGAACAAGGGCTGAAGACGAGGGGAAAGAAGAGGAGGGAGGTATTTTCTATTTATTGCTCAGCTCTTGTCTTATGCGGCACCCCACGGCTGTGATGAGTGCGGCACCTTTCCCACTGCCGTCCTCTGACAGCAGGAAGTTGACGTTACACTGAGGAGCCAGTTCCTTTACCGTCTGGTGCATGACCCCCGAGAAACTAGACAGAGACAAAAGATTTGACATCATGTTAAGTGTTAATTTGTTAAGCTAAAATGGCCTGCGGCTCTTCTCATATCTGTTTTCTACAACTGGTTGAGCCGGTCTTTGTTCACATTTGCTTGTTGTTCTGAATAGCAATTTGCACCGCAGGGATTACATCGATAAGTGTCATGTAAATATGTTAAACACGTTGTTCACTGTACTAAAACATAAAACAAGGCAATTACGATATGATAGAAAGGCCTTTCCTATCTTTGTTTATTTGTTTCTTTTAATTGTACAGGCTACAGACACAAAACATGGACATAATGTTGTGGATATTTTAACCTCGTCAATACTGTAAAGATGTACAATGAGAGTAATCAATAATAAACTGGTGAAAGCAAACAGAGTTGTCTTAGTAGTTCTTTATACAAGCTTGCAGGTACGGTCATGCAAAGTACAGAGTCGTTTGCAGGAGTGGACACAGGGGCAAATGTGTGTGTGCGTTTTATAGAGGACTGTTGCTGCGCAGAGAAGAGAAAGAGATAACTCTTTATCTTGACTGTTATCTTACAATGCTCTCATAGGGAGAGCCGCATTCTTCAGGTACGACCTTGGCAGGAAGCTACCGTGTGGTACAACAGGTCGAGTTGACCAAACATTTCTCAGCATAATATCATCATTTGGTTTTACCATATAAAGTAATATAAGAAATTGCCACTACAATAACAGAACAAATAAAATACAGTCAGTAGGTCACTTCAACATTTCATAAACAAGAAAAATAGGTTGACAGTCCAATACCATCAAAAGCACATACCATAACATGGCAAGCATATTTATAGTTATTGTTCCTTTTTATCCCACTCTTCGCTAGAGCTGATTGTTTCCCATTTCATGGCGTGTTGAGCCATCCTTTGATCCTTTGTGGCAATCATCCTTTCCAAAATAAATTGTGTTTTTAATCTACTCTTCAAACACCTTACATTCAGATTTGTCCTTGATTGAGTTTTAAAACTAAGTATTTTAGCCAGAAGAATAATTGTATTCATTAACTGTGTACTGTCCTCATCCAAAAGCCCAAAGAAAACACCAAAGGGAGTAAATGCAAAATCAATATAAAGTGTCTTAAGCCAATTTTGAATCTCAGTCCACAGTCTTGCAACGTATGGACAATAACAAAATAAGTGCATCTGGTCTTCCTCTTCCTCCTCACAGAATCTACAAAATGCTGACGGTTCAATATTAAAAGTGTTGAGTGGTTTTTTTGTAGCGGTAATCTTGTAAAAATTCTTCAGTTGGAGGATTCTTGAATATGAATCCGTTTGATTATAAATTATTTTAATTTCCGACTTCTTGTTTGAGGTGTACAGACCTGTTGTCGGTTTCCATCTTCTTTTTATTTACGTTTCCAGTTAGTTGGAATAGCTGAAAGCAGCTGGTTAAAATGAAGGAAATCACATATCTGACCATACATACAGCAAAAACACTGATATGACATTACATTATCTGTGCTATCTAGTAAATCATTCATACAATTATTCCTTACTACTAAAACAAGGCAATTTAGGACATGATAGAAAGGCCTTTCCTATCTTTGTTTCTTTGGCAGTTGAGTAATTAGTCTGTTGTTGATGAATTCAACTCACTGTGGATGTAGTTTGTAGAGGGTCCCGTCCACCCCCACAGTGATGTCCAGATGGTCCAGTCCTCGGTTCTCTCTGATCTTATCGACCACAGCCGCCATCCCTGCCCCACAAAGCTGAGCTGCACGATGGGACACTGCCCCACAAACCTGTAAATTATAATGAAAACATTATTATTATTGCAACACTGAACGGATCAAACCTGTCACAGTGTGTTCATTAAGAAAAGATATGTCACTTAACATGTGTATGCCATGTATAGTCCAATACACATGCCTTCTTTAACAGTACACCTCGCTAAATCTAATGCAGTCTAATAGGGAGGCGTTAAATCAACTGCATGGCCAGTTCAGAGCTAGTGTGTCTATTCTCTTCAAACTCCATCTCCGTCAGTAAGGACACTTGATTTGTGTTGATAACTTCCACTGATGGAATGATGATTATCAATGGTTGAGCATGATACTGGATTGGCTGTTAAACATGATTGTGTGCTTTAGTTTTTATTGGGCACACATTTCCTCAGAAGAAATTGTTCGTTATTTGCCCACATTTGTATTTGGATATAGCTTACCCTTTTGACTATGATACTGTCATCACAGGAGCTGTCCAGCCCTAAGTGTTGCAGGATGGATCTCACTTGCAGCAGAGCTAATCTATCACTGGAAGAAAAAAAAAACAGAGACATAGATGATGAGCAAAGGGGAAATTAACTAGTAGTTCAGTACCAAAACAGCAATTTAAAGTACAAATATATCCGCTTAAAGGTAAATAAAGAAGCAATAATTAGTTGCAGTGCAACAGTGGCGGCGCTAGGGGGTGGCTACTTGGGCTCAAGCCCCGGATGTTTTCTGAAAAGCCCCGGATATTTCACTTGAAAAAAATAAAAACGTCTCAGGAGTAATGTGCAGTACCGGAGTCCACCAGAGAGGCAGCCACTGTGGGACAGTAGCCTGCGTACTGCGTAGCCTGCCCTGAAGAAGAAGTGATCCTTCCTAGTGCCTGACGAGTTTTAAGCTAATAGCCTATACAGTTATGGATATTAGAAAGTTATTGTCATTGAAGCAGGCCACAAGCTGCAGCAGCAGCAGTATCAGCAGCTGACAACAATGTCATCACCAGCAGTCAAGAAATAGATGATGTTTCAGGTTTGTTAATCTAATGGTGATATCTGCACTCTGGCTGATTGAGTAAGAAGTGAAAAAGAGTGATGTAACGTTAATGTTATAGCTAGTAAACATGGAGTAACCACACTAAGTATACCCTTATATGTTAGTATGTATACAGAACATGACTAAAAATTATCCTAAGATGTAACGTTAACCCTTCATACCTCAGTCTACTTTTAAGACACTAAAATAACGTATTCCAATTTGTATTTTGTTTTCGCACGTGGAATTATACCGGCTCTCGTTTCAGTACACATAACAACAGAACTGACAGGCAACCCTCTGAATCAGACTCCGATTGGCTGTGACTGCATCCACTCAGAGTGTCCGATTCAGAAACGTGACTCTTGCACTCTGTATGTCACAAACAAAGATGGTGGATGAGAATAGATCTATAAAACGATAAGCAATGCGCCAGAATCAAAGTGAGACTATCCGCATCCTTTAAAACTCCTTAAAGGAATGGTATGCTCATGACACTCATTTTTAAATAATTATCATCCGATAAAATAGACCATTCTCTGCCAGTCTTTTTTTTTTTTTTTTAATCCGATGACATTATCAGTGATTTTAAACTGATTAATTACCGAAATAACATCAACACTGTTGGCGGCGCCATTTTACCGGACGTGACGTAAACCATGCGTTTGGTTTCGAGGACACGTTGATGTTCATGTTATTTACTGTAGTTACTCTCTTCAAATATGCCTCATTGTATCGCGAAACATTGCCACAATTCTGATAGGAACAATCCACGGAATGCTCGGTTCCATCTGTTGCCAAAAGGTAAGCGTAGGAAGTACGTTCGGAGGCAGTGGCTAGCGAAATGTGGCCGGCCCGAACCGAAAGATCCACAGGCGCATGTATGCAGCGAACATCACCGACCAGGACACCAGTTCGGCCAGTTGAGAAATCGCCCTCTGCAAGTGTGAAGCGACGGAGGACCAGAAGTAGTGCTCGGAGTAAGAATAAGGTATGTTATAGCGCATTTCCATTGCAGCGGGTAGCCCCGTTTCAACGTCCTTTATCGTCCAGGCCAGGCCAGTTTTTGGTGGCCTTTCCATATAGCGTAGTACCGGCTAGCGGGTACTTTTCCCCAGTTTTTCCGGCCCCATAAAATCGTGGTTCTAGGTACACCCTTCATGTACAGGTCTTCCTACTCGCCTTCCGAAATCAATTGCACGAGTAAAGGGATCGTCTCCAGCAAGATCACCGTGCTGTTCATCCTCATCGTCACTGTCCCTGGATTCCTGACGGTTCTGACTACTTGGCTCGAACCTGTATGGCTGAATTCCCCCATCCAATCTCTTCATATTGCTCAAAATTTCTTCCTCGGCTGACGAGTCCGAACTCAAATACTCCGCCATGTTTTCGTGTGTTTCCAAAGTGAACGCATGGATGACGTCACGACCATCACGTGACTACTGAAAATGGCAAAAATGGCAGCGGCCTGACAGAATATACAGGTTTTGATCAAAAAGAGCTATAAAATCATTATTTACCGGGGAATATCGCTGATTTCTTCAGGGTATGGTTTAAATATAATGTTTCACTAAATACTGAAGTTTTGATTAATTATCTAATGAGTGGAGCATTCCTTTAATAAGTAAACGACTATTTGAGTGAGTTAAGGCATTAGTTTTCTTCATTAAAGGGTGTTAATGAGTGTTCTCCAGTGCCTTTTGTCCGCTTTAAGGTGTTATTAAGGTAGGGTTAATGTTGCTCTCAAAGTGCACCAGATTGATGCTTTCAACTTCAATATTTAAAAAAAAATCTTCCCGGGGGAGCATGCCCCCGGACCCCCCTAGAGGAGGCGACAACCCAACAACTCCTGGGCTAAGCCCCGGATCTCCTACAATCCTAAATCCGCCACTGCAGTGCAATCTACTATAAATGATCTGGTGTTTTTCACAGCCAGTTTAAAGACACAAACAGTAAACACTAAGAAAGAGCTCTTTTTCTTACCTCTCTATCTGTGAGAGGAACTTCGTCTCGAAGATGCCTCTGGTCTTCAGTGTTTCAGAGATCTGTCCTCTGAACAAGAATCCTCTCTTGGTCATATCTATCAAGATGTTTCGCACAATCTCCCCGAGATACATGCCGCTGCACATTTTCTCAAATCTGTAAAACACATATAGCGTGCATATGAATAAACATATAGATGCATCCACACATATTGGAACTTGGAAGTAATCTATCAGTATATGAGTGCAGGAGATAAAGATGTGTGTGTGGATTTTAACCTTTGTTTGCCTGAATTCAGGGAGAAGTCATCCACAGCGCGGTCGCACTCTGTCCTCATGTCATCAAGGCATCCGTTGTCTCCGAAAGCCCCCCACTCCATGTTGACACACATGCGGCCCTCATCTCCATCGATCGTCTCAATGTTCCTCATCTCCTCCATGTAACATGCATTACTGCCAGTGCCTAGAAACAGACAGACATGTTAGATTTTTACTGCAAAGGGTCCCAACCATTTCCCTCAAGGGACCCCTTTTCTATTATAGAGTAAACTGACAACCCCGACTAATGTTTGGTGAAATATTTAATGGGTATTTCATAGCATGTTAACTGCATGACAATAACAATGAAGACAATAGGTGTTATTTTTAGTACGATTAAGTAAGTACGTTTTTATTTAACATAAGACACATACTTTATAGGTTTCTTTTTTCGACAAATTCAGTGTTTCTCCCCAACTATTGGCCATTGTTTTATTAGCTCCTTCATCGTTTTGGCTGCATACTTTCCGAATGAATGCGTAAATATAAGGAAGACTAACCAGCGATAAGTCCAATCTCACAGGTGGGTTCTTCGTAGGCACAGGTCATCAAGGTTCCCACTGTATCGTTCACTATGGCCACCACATCCAGCTCAAATTCCTACAGAAGAAAACATGTAATGATGCAACAATACAGTCCACTTGTAATCATTCAGAGCAGTGGTTCCCAACCTGGGGGGGGCGCCAAAGATCGCAGGGGGGGCGCCAGGCCTCAGATGATTTGAGGCCAAATATGATATTTCGACTTTTTTTTTTTTTTTTTTACATATAATTGTAACTCAATACATGATTGTCACTAAAAGCCTTGTCTTTGATGGAAATGTTTCTTCTGCCCGTAAAGTGTCCAAACCAGGCTTTGCTGGATAAGCGCATTTTTAAAACATAGTCATTGTCCTTGCCGGTTTCAGTTGGATTATTTGTCACAGTTGCTCCGATCAGATCGGTCTCCTCCATTTTGTAGATTATTTACGATTTTTGAATCCACATAAACACATGGGCAAAATCCGGCTTACTTTGAGCATGTGTTTTAAACAGTTTAATCCCTTTGTGAATTGTTTCCACTTGTGCCGTCCTTTAATTTCTTCATACAGCGGGAATCCAAATGAATTAATCCTGAGTCCAATAACCATCAAAGTCACTCCAATAGTGCTCCTTAATTACGCTTTCATCCTCCTTTAACAACATACTTCACATTCATCCAGTTTGTGACAGTAGTTGTAGCATTTTGAGACTTTTAAACTTTAATTACCCCCCCCCCCCGTGAGTGTGTGTGGGGGGGGCGGCCCTTCCAACAGGAGTCATTTGGGGGGGCTCTTGGGAAAAAAGGTTGGGAACCACTGATTCAGAGCATGTATAACTACATGTTGCTGCTCCTCATATCATACCTCTCTCCTCTTAATGGCATCTCTCAACAGACCAACCACATTTTCTCCTTCACAGTCTGTCGCCTTGAAGCCCTTCGTCCATGTCACAAGGATTCCCTAAACACACACACATACACAAACAAGTAACAGGTAAGTCATATTTTGCGTAGGATCAAAGGATCTCATGGTCTGCCCAGGACTCATATATTATATCTATACTCTGATATTTTGGAAACATGAAGGGCCTTTCTCTTGATGCAGCTGGTAATAAGTGTGCTATCACTGGACTGTAACCCAGCGGATTTTAAAAGAAAGTAAGACACAGGTTTGCCAATTAAAAGTGAAGGATGTTTTAATCACTCACAGCGTCCAGGCTGGTCTGTCTGCAGGGGAAGGAGAAGGTGAAGCCTAGAGGAAGACGAGTGTTCTTCATCCCCATGTAGTCCAGGAAGTCACTGATACACTGCACAATGTGATCAAACAACTGGAGGAGGAAACATATGACAATATGTGAAACGACAGTATTTATAATAAAAACATTTTCAAACATTACTCAATTCCTGGCTTCAAGTCATTAGTTTTCGACATAAAACTTAAATATTTATGACTGGATGGACTAATTTGATGTGAGGCAATAATTAACCATAAGTAGGACTTTATAGAACAAATTAAAGCAATACAACGACAGACTTAATGACCGATTACCGATATACCGATTACTCACCCTAATGACCTAATAGATTTTTTTTGCATGTTTAAACAGCTCCCAACACATTAGTTTGACTTTACTTCACTATTCAAACATTTTCCAAAAGAAACAGTGTCCTTTTTTGATAAAAATGTTATACAAACTTAATACTCAAAACGTGTTTATTGTTTTCAAGAAGTTTATATTTAAGATTCTTCACCAACATGCAAAAAAGTCTTCTTAAAGAATTCAAGGTGACATGGGATGAGTAGTGGATATACAAATCATCCCTTTGTGTATGAAGTATTCCTTTAAGTGTTATGTGACTGTGGATGCAGCCTTGTAATTTACGTTTTTCAGAGGTTTGAACACACAGAACGGTTATATAATTTGCCTGCAGGCAGTATCGCTCAGTCAAAGGGAGAGGTGGAATTTGGTGGACCTCTGTTAAATATGTTGTTTGTGTCACTAACATAACAAGGCAAGTTCATTCTTATTTACAGCAATAGTCTGAAGAGTAGTTACAAGCATATTGTACTCTGATCAACCCTTTATCAGTTATTTAACACCATACAGTATATCTTATCCTGGATAGATAATAGAAAAGACGTTATAAGATGACAGATTGAGGTGTGGCCAGAGAAAAATATGCTTGACTTTGATGCTTTGTGAAAAAAATTGTCCGGTTCATAAAGTATAGTTGACCCTATAAACAACAATACCACTTAAAGGACACACTACATGCTAGAATGCTATATTATATGCTATACAAATACAATAAAAAAGCTTTAACCTTTACAAAACTGATGAAAAAAAGTGAGCATGCTGGCATATGCAACTACAAATGTTTTCAATAAGTCCTTCCTCCCGAGTGCCATCAATATTCTCAACTCAGAGGAGAGGCAATGAGAGGATTTAAGCCATTACATTTATATGAACTGTTTTCATATTTAATATGACATGGTCCAAGCGTTTGTTTTACTAAATGCTTGTTGCTTGCTGCTTGTTTTGGGTGAGCCGAAAAATAATCTTATTAAACAAAATAAGTGAAAACATTTCACAAAAATAGTGCCTTTCCCCTTCTGGCTTCTTGTCCGGAGTATCTCAGGAGGAAGGAAACACATGGAGGAGTAATAGTGAGGATTAAAATGTCAAAAAGGTGACAGACAGGATTAGCCTCAGCCGGTGCACAAGAGTTAAGTTCAAATGTACGGTTTAAACACGGTCAACTCAATGCTAATCAACCTTTATTTCTGTCCTCCTCTTACCTATCCACTTTCTTCCCTGCTGTTTCCATCCTATCCACTTAACTCCAAGTCACCAAGCTTCATACCCCACATCCTCCCTAACTACCCTAATCTCCACTGTAACAACAAGGTGACCTGAGGTCAAGTTCAATGTTTACCTCCCCCCCAGTTTAACACATATTACAGGGTCAAGTGAGGCATGCTGGATCTCACCTCCTCCCCTGTGCCCTGCATCACTTCCAGAGGAATAGCGTAGATCTTGTTGTGCATCTCCACGGTTCTCCTCTTGCCTGAACGAATCTTTACCAACAGAACTCTGAAGTTGGTTCCTCCTAAATCCAACGCCAGGAAGTCTCCATGCTCTGGACAACAAGACAAGCAGACAAACAAATACATAAATAAACCAGTAACCATGGCAAACATACTAACACCTGAGGGATATGCCTTGTGCAATTCTGGAAAAGGAATTGCTGAAGACATCAATGTAAAAATATAAATTCTTCTGATTTGGAGATTTTCCATGTTATTCGTGTGCTAAATCTGCAATTGCACTTTGGTATTAATCATGTTCTACTGCTTTGTAACATGAAGGTTCTCCCTCTTAAATGTTACTTTTGCTGTTAATGTTGGCAATTTTTGTATTTATTCAAATAAATTAGTTTTTTTGATGATGACTTTCTGACGTTTGCAAAAGTGACGTAAGCTAAATGTGTATGACATTTCAGTCATAAAAGATCACTATTGGATAAGGACTCTCACTCAGAGCGAGGTTCAACATGGTGTGTCATTTTTGTGTGTGTGTGTGTGTGTGTCACCTGAGCCATCAGGAGTGCTGTTCACAAAGGTTGGCAGCATTTTGACAGTAGCAGAGTCCTGAGTGCTCTTTGAAAGGCCATTTTGGATCTCTATCCTCATTCTCTTCTTAACCTGGAATAGTTTAGGAGAATATTCAGCAGTAGTAACACAGTGAAAGACACACGCACACATATTACACATATTACACACACTACAGTATGTATCTGTCTTTACCTCCAGCAGTTGTTCGGTCGACAGGAGGAACTCAGACAGTGTTTGGGTGATCTCTCGTGAGTGTTCGGCGAGGCGATAGGCCACAGCCGTTACCATGGCAGCTCCTTTCCCACTGCCGCTCTCTGAGAGGAGGAACCGAATATCAGTGTCCGGCACCAAACGACGAACCGTCTTATGGAGACGACGGGCATATCTGAAATACACATAAGAGACTTTAAACGCTGAGAAATGTAGACTTCTTTAGTCATAAGACACCACGCATTGTCAATAAGGTCATTGACATATCAAGAATGTACTACAACAGATGTGCCAACAGAGCGTGTTGTATAAACAAATATTGGATCCACTCACTGTGGGTGCATCTTGTACAGAGATCCATCGATGCCTACAGTGGTTCGGAGTCGGGCCACGCCTTTGTTCTCCTTCAGCCTGAACAGGATGCCGGCCAACGCCGCAGCAATCAGATTGGCCGAACGGAAAGACACAATGGCACAGACCTGAAGGACGAGGAGAGAAAACCATCAAGCAGCTGAAGAATAAGGTAAACTAAGCTCCTTTGATTTTATTAAACTCTTTGTCAGATGGCACATATTATGGCAGTATTCATGTACATTATAATTCTGTTTGCACTTAAAAGCATAACATAAAATAAAATAGACATACCTAAATACAACGATAGGGCTTATATGATGTAATATTGTTCATCCTATTTGCTTTTAATAGTTTGTTTGGCAGAACTACAGTAACTAATTCGATCATTAGTTGTTACCCTCAGCTTTCTTTTAATCTTAATGAACTACAATATGTTTTAATCCATTATCAACCCGTATTTAATGTGCTATGATCATTGCTAACCCTTGTTGCCTTTTCAGATGATTGTTTAGCACCTTGTAGTGCAACTTTTCGCAAAAGCGGCAATATAAATAACTATAGTTTAAGGTTATTTAAGCGGCATCTCTAAAAAAAATAATAACGGATTCACAAGCTTTTCAGCAACAATACTCACATGCTGCACAGCGATGCAGTCGTCATGCGAGGGCTCCACGCCAAGTCTTTGTAAAATCTCTTTGGTTCTCATCAACCCCTCCTTACTCCTAAACAGGAAAGACAGAGAAGCCATTATGGACTAGAACTATATCATTTACAGTTTTATGATTTAGTTTCATATCTAACTGCATAGAATTGTACTAATTGTGACTTACTTCTCTATGGCTGAGATGTGTTTGGTTTCGATCTTCTCCTTAGTGAGCAGCTCAGGAGTGATCCTCCCCTCGAACAGCAGGCCTTCTCTGGCCATCTTCACCAGGATCAGACGGACCAGCTCCCCCAAATACATCCCGCTGACCATCTTCTCAAATCTAACACACAGGGAAAGGGAAAATGAAAGGTTGGTAAAATATATACAAATATTTTGTTAAATATTACTTAATGACAAACAGATAGACATTGGTAGTAATTTAAAATGGTGACACTAGTTGAGTTTTTAGCAGTACCTTCTACCGGTTTTCAATACCGTAGTCGATAGCACGATTTTGAATGCTGCTGTTTTTGCGTTGAAGCTTTAAGCATCTTACTTAAAAAAAAGGAAAAGCTTTGGCTCCCATGTAGGAAAGCAACTAAGGCATCCAGCCAACAACGAGCAATGCCGTTATCTCTGCATGTTATATATTAACACAGTGCTGGAATTCTGTGAGCACTTGTTTAAACATGCAGTTCAACTGGAATCTTGAAGCACAGCGCCATACATTAGCTACATTCATTCAAAGGTAAAGTTGGAGGTACATCCCTGGTGTCTTTAAAGTTCCTGGTTACAAAATATTTGTTATTATTTTGATTTTTTAAATATAAATGAATAACCATATGGAAAATCATAATGATAATAATAATAATAATAATAATAATAACTTAGATTTATATAGCGCCTTTCAGGGGACCCAAGGTCGCTTTACAGGAAAAATAGGAGACAAACAGTCAGACAGACAAAACAACAAAATAAATAAAATCCTGTTATACTTTCTCCACACCCAGAACAATAAGCAAAAGCTAATTGACAGACTGACAGCTAATCATCAGCTGATTCTGGAGTTCATTCAATAGATGAAGAAAAAAATAAGAGTGTAGCAGCTTTGGTTTGACATACAGCTGTTTCCCGGGGTTGATGGAGCCTCTGTCTATCTCTCTGTCGAACTCTGTCCTGATGTCCTCCAGCCTGCCGTCGTCTCCGAAGGCCCCCCACTCCGTGTTCACACACATCCGGCCCTCGTCCCCCTCCACCTGGTCGATGTGGCGCAGCTCCTCCATGTAGCACGCATTGGTGCCCGTACCTTACACAGAGAAACACATATCCTTAAAGGTCCCTTACTATACTGTTTTTCATCAATATATTATAGGTCTCAGATACAAAACATGTCTCTGAAGTGTTTGGCTCTAAACACCAAACAGACCATTGTAGCATCCCATAATCCCCTCTGTTTCAGCCCTGTTCCTAAAGTGCTGATTCTCTGTCTGTTACTTTAGATGAAAATAAGGAGCCCCTCCCCACGCCCCTCTGAGAGATATTTGGTTAAATAGAACACAATGGTGCTCTAGGAGGAGATTCAGGTGATAGGGGGGGGGGGGGGGTTACCTTGGTTGGTGATTGGCTAATGGTTACACAAGCCAAAACATCGTTATGACATCATAAAGTGGCCAAAATCTGATGAGCTCATTTTCAGACAGGTTTTTCTATAAATGGATCAGGACAAAAAGTGAGAGAATATTTTGTCCTGAAACTTTCAGAGTCTCTTTACACAGAGGGGACACATGTTGATGTAGAAGAGACATGAAAAAGTGGATTTTGCATAATAGGTGACCTTTAAAGTTTAATCAAGCTCTATTCTGTTTCTTCAAACTGTTGTGCCACAATGCCAAATACACTTTTGAATCTTTGTTGAAGTACCTATGATGATGCCGACTTCACAGCGCCGGTCATCAAAACCACAGGTCATCATCGTTCCCACAGTGTCATTCACTACTGCCATGATGTCAGCTTCATAGTCCTCAGAGAAATGAAAACACACACACACAAAAGTAAGTATGGTTTGTGGTTATATGTGCCATTCTGCATCCCAGTTTAATTTAGAATAAATGATTTCAAAATGATTCCCATAAGTGTTTCTATGAAAAGAGAAAAAACGTATTTATACCTAGTGACAGAAAAAACACAAAGGATATTTGGTATAATTATAAAGCCTGTGAAATTATTGTCCTTTTAAACTTGTAAACTGTGGTGTTATTTTTTGTATAGTTTGTTTGTTGTATTTAGAAAGTCTGGTGTTCAAGATGTATGTCCTGTACCAGAAAATGTTCAATAAATAAAGATAAATACGTTGGTAACTACAGAATGAGGAAGTGAGGCGTCACATGGTCAGAAAATGAAACCAAAGATAGGACTCACTCCTCGCTTCTTTATAGATTTGTTGAGCAGCTGGACAACGTCCATTCCCTCCACTCCACTGGCCTTGAAACGCTTTGTCCACGTTACCAGAAAGCCCTGGAGACAACAGAGAGAGAGCCACAGGAAAGTGAGATTAGGAAAGACATAGATTTAATGCTAAATGGAGACTTGGCTTGGGTTAACTCATAATGTAAATGTACTGCAGTATAATCGTCAGATATTTGAATAAAAGATAACACATGGAAAGTGTTGTGTGTCACATAGAAGTAGACAACATCGGCATCTGCTAATCAATTATGAATTTGTTTTACCTCGTCTAGTTTGGTCTGCTGGCAGGGGAAGGAGAAAGTAAATCCAACTGGGAGTTTCTTGTCTTTGATGCTGTGTTTTTCCATGAAGTCACAGAGACACTCTGCCACATGGTCGAACAGCTGGGCAGAGGTGGAGAGAGGGAGAGGATGTTTCAGGCTGAGCTGAAGAGACTCTTTGTGTCAGTGAGTGTATCTCAGTATAAACCTACTTTTGTTCCAGTGCCGTGAATGATGTCCTCCGGTGTGTCGTAGATTTCACTCTCCATCTGAACCGTCTGTTTCTTCTCATGGCTCACTCTGACCCGGAGGATCCTGAAGTTACTGCCTCCCAAATCCAACGCAATGAAGTCTCCCTTTTCTGTGGAGACAGGAAGAGTGAGAAGATGAGGGAGAAGTGGAAGATACAAGAAGAAGACAGAAAGAGAGGGTGAAGTCTAAGGAGAGTGTTGTTAACATTACCTAAGAGTACACTTCCTATTAGCACAGTTATGAAAATAAAAACATGCATTATCAGATTGTCTCCCTTCTTTTAACTTGGTAACACATTTCCCTTTAATTCAAACTGAAGCAATGTACATTTCCAAAATAATAATAATATGCCTTCAACATTGTGACCTGCATCAATGGATACTAAAGCAAACAGATATTGTTCTAAACTGTATTAAAGTAAACAGGTATTATCTTGAACTGTATTGAAGTGAACATGTATTATTTGGGACTGTTTTGAAGTAATCCTATATATATATAAACCTTCTTACCTACACTCCATAAGGCAGATATCACCAACACACACACATACACCTCCTGTCTCCAGCACACACACATAAACTCCTTGACCCAGATATCAGCAACACACACACATACGCCTCCGCTTATCAGCACACACATACACTTCCCCTCACTAACACACACACATGTTCTTTTTCAAGGTTCTTTCTGGGGCGAATATAATCCCAAGCACCAATATATCTGTGTACAATGTTTGATTGTTTGGGAAAGAATAGTTTGTGTGAAACCTTCCTTGAGAAATTAAAGGAGTTGAGTCCGGTGGAAGATAAGAAGTGACTCTCCGCCCCAAATATGTCTATATATACTGTTGTGTACCCATGCAAAATTCTCCCTGTTTCTGACTGGCTGGTCCCGATATCTGTATCGCACGGCAGTAGAGCGGGGAGCCCGGAGTGCTCTGTTTTAGGGCACTCTGTATTTCGTATTGTGTTTTTTACTGTATTAAAATCAGATTATTGTTATAACTTTTATGCCGGTGTTTTGAACTCCTTCTTTTATTAAATCTGACCAGGCTCATCTAAAGGACGGCGCGGAGCAGAGGTGGGCTTTAAGCCACCACTATTGTGTTTGCTCCTACAATTCTAGTGTAAGAAAATGGTGTGGTGGCAGAAATAAACCTAAACTAGGAAGGTGTTGCTTTATGTGACCTGTGATTAGTAAATATTCACTTAGGGACTGTAGTTTAGTCTTTCTGTCTGAATTGGGAAGACGTAATTGCCGTAAAGCATTCTGATTAGATAAACTGCAAAAATGTCACTGCTTTTTCCTAATTTATTGTGTATCAGAGATCTTATTGACCTTTGATTAGAAGTGAAAGCATACAGGTCAGATTGGAGAGCTCATGTTTAATTGTTTATCAGCTTATAGTCAATCTTCACATGCTTTTCTAAAAATGTTGGCAAAGATGATTAGAGACAGTCATTAAGAAGGTAAAAATGCCAACGTGCTTAATTTCTTAGTAATGTTTCTGATAACATTAGCAACATTCTTACTTACTAAGTCAGAAGTGTATTTTCACTTTACTATAATCTCGTGCCACACTTTATTCTCAGATCACAATACAAGGTCAGATTAGACGTACAGACTGACTGGTTTTTTTTTTATCTGCAAGAAATGTAAATGCTTCAGAGACAAGCAGTACAAAAATAGGATTGTTGCTATCCTGGTTTTTAAAATAATGACAAAGCATAAAATAGTTCTTCAGGCTGGTGAATAGCAGAAATTGATTCATGGTACCATTGATTAGAAAGATAAAGAAGTTTAAGAATAACATGTCGTTCAGTTACTTGTTATTCAGTTTTCCCCATTATAAATTGTGTTTCGTAAACAATAATAATACAAAAACACGATTTGAATGTATTTTTAGACTATTATGACTAAAGGTATTCCATTCAACTATCTGTAAGGACTTTCATTGTCCCTGACTTCTCTGACAAAGGCAGCAGGATTACTGCTAATCTCTCTGTTTGTCTGACAGCACAACGTTCACAGTGCAGACTAAAATAGATTGAAGATTTATTTCGTGCCAACCTGTGTTTGTAGTTTTGCCTCCATTAATATTCAGCTGATGAAGGTACTAAAATAACACTCAGTTGAGATGGATGGATGAAGAAAATTGAGCTACAAGGGCAGAACCACTGCAGTACATTAGGATTAAACACATGCTGCAGACAATGACATAATGACAGGGAGAAGATTTAAGCGCATTTTTACGTCACTAAACCAACAGGGAGCAATTGTTTTGACTTTTGAGATTAGGTTGGATGAATGTATGAGATCTCGTGAAGTGAAAGGTGCATTAATGCTTCATGCTTGCCCTGTGTCTTGCAGTTACATCTTGTTTTCTTCTAAATGTCATATATATGGCGAAAGATATGAGGGATCAGGTCAATTGGACACTTTTAATAAATGTTACTGACTTCTGAAAACTGGGAAAGGTCACAAAAACTATGAAAAAAACGTTTGACTTTGTTTTTTTAAAATAGTAATACACTGTTCTGTTCATTCGGTTTCTATTTGGATATAAAGTAGACAATAATGCCCTGTAGGCCAAGAAAGAGGAGACCACATTTTAATTACAAGTTGTTCCATAAATGATACATTTTTTTGTAATGGACTGTGCTGGCTTACCTCTGCAATTAACTGGCTTTGATAGTGGTTTCATGAGAGAAAGAAATCAACATGATGGGATTCAGATAATCCATCAATGGTTAAAATGTGGGTTTTAGGTACTGACCTGAGCCATCAGGGATCGACCGCACGAACGTTGGCAGCATCTTCAGCACGGCGGTGGGGTTGGTGTCCCGCCCCAGGCCTTTCACCAGCTCCCTCTTGAAGCGCTGCGTGATCTCCTTCAACGTCTCATCAGAGAAACGCATGGAGTACAGGTACTTATCGATCTGAAAAGAACAAAGAACGATAAATCGTATACATCTTAACAATTCCTCATCAATCTGTAACCACAATACTATGAGTATCCATTAAGCCATATATCAACATTGAAACACACAAACCTCTGACACTGGTTATTTCTAGGGATGTAACAATATATATATTTTTTTAAACCTTTATTTAACCAGGTGGTCCCATTGAGATCATCGATCTCTTTTTCAAGGGAGACCTGTCCAACATGGCAGCAAGTAGGTTACAACATGAACAAAAAACAACAGATAACACAAAAGGACATCGTATTTACAGGGCTACATGTACATACCTAGAGACATTGACAAGTACCAACAGTATATGTATATCTCGCCCTGTCAATAAGCCTCACCTGCAAAAACGGTATTGTTTTTGAAGTGGTGGAGAGAAAATGCACAGTTTTACCCACTGCTGTCACCCATGGCCAAAGCATATCTCTCCGTCCCAGCAACATCAGTACCAAGCAAGATAGTTTTTTCCACAGCATATTGTATATTGCATATTGGGTATTGTAAACGCCCAAACATCCCAGCTTCAACCTGGAAATGTGGACATGCTCATATTCCTAAAAAATAACCTGTCTGATGATGCTGAGTGAGTGAGTGAGTTTGAGTTGAGTTACTTGAAAAACTAAAGTGAAACTTAATTTATTTTATTGCAGGATCTGATTATTATATTTGACACTTTAAAATACTACTATCCAACTAAAATGCTGTACAAATCAGATTTATTATTTAATAAAGAACATTTGTTCAAGTAAAAAAATTATTTAAAAAAAATAAAAATAAATCAAATGTTTTTTTCCCTTTATTTTTCAATATCGCGATAAATATCGTACCGTGGACTTGTTATCGCGATATTATCGTACCATGAGTTTTTGGTATGTTACATCCCTAGTTATTTCACTTTCACTTTACAACAGTTAACTGAGATTTACTGGATTTGATGATTGCAGTCTGTATTTAATCATGATGATTCAGTAAATATATAACTTCCTATCCCATAATGTCTGAGTCATCAGATAATCCACATCCTGAACTGATTGATCCCAGCTCTGCTTAACCTTTAACATAAATCAGAGTCACAAAAACAAGACTTTGTATTGCTTCATTGCAACTTGAATGACACTTTGGGCAGGGCTATCATACTGTGGTCATAGGGCACAATATTTAATATAAAGCACAGTGTCATGAGTGACACACTGCAAGGACAGGAAGTACAGTACACACCCTTCATGCTGTTATCAAGGCAATAATGCACACTCATGCCTGGTGAGTGGATTTGGGTTTGACAGTGGTGAGGGTAAGGGAAGAGTCTAAAAAAATAACAGAGACAAACTTACTGTCTATTCACCATAAGTGTAATAGTTGTAGCACATCCACATATAGGTGTGCCTTCATGAAATTATCAGCACTTCTTGCACACTCTTTATTTATTTACCAGCCAGATTGCATGCTGAAACTGCCCACTGTGTAAACTGTGTCAGATACTCCACACACAAGCCTGAGCTGTCGGGGCCTTTGAGTAACAGGATGTTTAACAGACTGTTGAAATCCATTGTTGCATCACACTCTATAATGAATTAAATACCTACTTTATACTGGAGTGTTACACAACAGAGCACAATGGGACAGACACGTTACTCTGCTTAAATGTCAAGTTCAGTATGACTTGCTAGCTTAACACATAGCTATGACCAGTTTGATAACAAATAACCATTTGAGATAATTGATAAGCAATAGGCGTTCATACAATCATGCTCACTTGATTCAATATTTACACAGAAACAATACTTTTACGTATTCTGACGTACATTGTAACAGACATCAGATAGGAATGTTTTGACTATCTGTTTTAGGAGTCAGTCACACATTAACTGTATTTCCTTCACAGCTCTGGTCTCTGGTCCATATGACATGCTGCGGGCAACATAGATTCATTATTTTAATTTGGTTGTCAGGTATTAAGCACACTTTGAAATAGTAAAAGATGACAGCAAAATAAATTGAAAAAGCCAATCAATAAAATATTAACAGGTTTTGATTTCACCATATGTGCTAGAGTGTGTGACTTTTCTGTCACAGTAAGCGGTCGATTTGGCCTTTATCATACCCTTGTACATCACTTTAGAAAGGTTGCTCTGATGTCATAAACAGCCATACAACCAAATATGTATATGCCAGTATGTTTAAAAATGTTTTGGGATATGTATTTTGAATACAAACTTGTTTTTGTAGGAGCCAAGGTCAAACTACTAAAAAAACACCCTGGCCAGAATGTATGCATTAACACAGCCACAATGAATGAAACTATAAAGGAATGAAGCCAATAATGTCCCTCGTAAGGCACATGGTTAAGTAAGACTTGTGGCGTACATTTGACACAAAAATTAATAATCTGCTATTTAATCATGCAGTCATCTTTGAATAGTATAAAACATTGCGAGTCAACATGGATAGTTACATGACAACAGCCCTGTACAACTACTAGCAGGCGTTACATTCCTTATAGTCTGCCTAAATGTGGAGTCTGCCTCTGGGATGAATGCTCATTATCACGTCGCATCACACTTGAGCCACAAGCTGAGTGAATTAGGGCTGCACGGTATTGAAAGAAACTGACATCGCGATTTCCCCCCCCCCCCCTGCGGTATATATCGCGTTTTTTTTAACCTGTTAAACCCCAAAGTCCCGGCGGGTACTTTTTTTTCCATGCATTCCATGGAACATAACAAAAAGTGTATCTCGAGCCGGTTTCTCAAACTTACCTACCCCACCTTTAAATCAAAGTGACTTACAATAAGTACATTCAACCATGAAGAAACAAACAAAAACAATCCTGAAGCAGGGGCGGATCTACGGGGGGGCAAGGGGGGCAGCTGCCCCCCCCCACTGTAGAGCCTTGCCCCCCCAGCTGCCCCCCTAATTTTTGTTTCCCTAAAACTGTACTAAAACAAACCTACACTATTTCCACAAGCTTCTCAAGCAACAAAACAAGCATTACATTAGTTAAAAGTGAATCATTTTAAATATCATTTTAGGCCCGTTAAAAACGCAGCTACGGCCCTGCATTAAACTGCGGAGCGGCGTTCACACAGACCGCGGCTCACACCGCTGCAGAGAGGGAGCGAGCTGTCCCAGCACCTATGGATCAGCTTCCCCTGGGAGCATTTCCATTTCCACTAGTTTTGTTTTTACTAAGGACGAGTGCTTGAAACTAAATATGAATAAAACGCTGCCGTTTCAATCGATAGCGTTTAACAGACGGGCGCTGTTTGGGGCGTTACGTTACAAAATACTACGCAGACAGCGTTAGCTGGGAGATCGATCACTTTGTTAAACTACGCGGTAGCCTCCTATTAAATCCACGTAAACTACACATCACAGCCATGAGGCCAGATCAATGAAACCAGGATACATCCTTTACCGTAAAAACTGGATCCAAACACAGCTGCCTGTGTGCGCTTGATCAATACTTTCTGATGTTATATTTATGATATGCTACATATTAGCTAGGCTACATGGCCCTAACGTGTAAAGTTATACAAGCATTTGTACCAGTGCTTTTCACAAGTAGACTCTTGCAGGCCAGAGTATAGGAGTGATTCAACAACAGCAAAAAGACATATGAGAAGTGATCAGGACGAACAGAAAGAGGAAAAGGAAAAGAGAGATGAAGAGACCAGGAGGGTCAGAGCAGGAGGAAGAGGAGGAGATGAAGACATTAGTGAAGAAGAAGAAATATATGTGAGGAATAAAGATGAAGTATCAGAAAGAGGGCCAGAGGCAGGGATCAGGAGGCAGATGAAACTCCAGCTGGATCACATGGTATGTTCTTATTCTCCTTATATATTCCATTACAGCAGCACAATCTAGCAGCTCTTAGTATTGACAAATATTGATTGAAATGTGTTACTGCACAGGTCACCTGTAGCTCTCTGAAGAGATTGCGGTGATGTCATTTGTGTACTTAATTATAATTAAGTACTTACAGTATGCAGAATTCTGAGTATTCTCTGAATCGGGTGCCTTTTGGGTCTTTATATCTTTGAAAAATGAAACCAAAATGTTTGGTCATAACATCTGGTAGTGGACTACTTACATGTTCCCACCTCAGGCACAAAATATAAATAATTACTAGGAATTTCCTTGAAAAAATGTAACAGGGTTGAAGTTTTTGACAAAAAGTAGCATGAGACCTTGTTTAGCTAAGATATGGCACCACTTGGAAATCAAGGACATTACAAAATTGTAATATTTTGCAAAACTATTGTTTATTTTTGTAATAAACAATTATTTACTATTATTAATTCATACAACATAGTTGAAATGTTGAGCTTGTCAATCTTAATCTGAAAATACAAAAACTGAAATATAGGTAAGAGAAGAAACTGACACTTTTGTGATGTAATTCCCTCAATGCAGATCACACATGGACTGATCCATTATTTTAATAGGAGGGTAAATGGTATGGCGTGACAGGGTTGAAACAAACTGAGGGACAATATTGCAATTTCATAGATAATTCAAGTATTTTTTCAGAATTGATTTTTGATCAGTTAAAGTTGACAAGAATATGATTATATTAGCAGCAACATTTTGGGATAATTGGCCATTTTGATTGGTTTGATATTAAATTAATATGTAATAATGCTTAGTGAGGACATGCAACTATGTCTGTCTAAGACAGGGGTGCCCAACCTTTTTTGAACCGAGAGCTACTTTTAAAGTTGCCAGTCTGCCGAGATCTACCAGTCCAAATAGAGAGGCGTAGCCATTACTGACAGCCTACTGCCAGGTAAATACACACTTCTACTTGTATAAAACTGACCTTCGTACAATTAATACTTCATAAAATACTGCAGATCCTTTATCTTACCTCTTTCTAATCTACACACATACAAGTATTTAACTGAAGTTACACAACAGTGTTGTTGATACGGAGTTGGAGTTTATTCACACGTCACTACAGTGGGTAA